GAGCAACAAAGATGATTAGGGGACTGGAGGCTAAAGCATATAAGGAACGGTTGCTGGAATTGGGTATGTCTAGTTTAATGAAGAGAAGGACGAGGGGGGACATGATAGCAGTGTTCCAATATCTCAGGGGCTGCCACAAAGAAGAGGGAGTCAAGCTATTCTCCAAAGCGCCTGAAGGCAGGACAAGAAGCAACGGATGAAAACTAATCAAGGAGAGAAGCAACCTAGAACTAAGGAGAAACTTCCTGACAGTTGGAACAATTAACCAGTGGAACAACCTGCCTCCAGAGGTGGTGAATGCTTCAACACTGGAAGTTTTTAAGAAGAGACTGGACAGCCATTTGTCTGAAATGGTATAGAATTTCTTGCCTGAGCAGGTGTTCGGACTAGAAGACCTCCAAGGGTCCTTCCAGCTCTATTCTATTATTGTTGTTATTATTATAAATATCTTATTATATATTATTTTCAGCCTCTTGTACCAAGGCCTATATCTTTGAAGGGTGGTTCTTAGTGTGGTCAAATAACCCCTGAGATTCCCTCAACAATATCAAAGAGGTTCATAACCTCAACATTATTTGCCAAGTATTAAAGATATTTGCAAAAATTTAAAATAATGTCACTTTTCTTGTTTTTATTTGATAAGAAAATAGGCTTTTTTTTTTAAATAAAGAACACTTCATTAATGTTTAATGATTTTGATATTATTTTCCATGGTTCAAAAAATACATATACAAATGGATGCATTTTAATTTTTAATGGGGTAAATATCCATAAAGTATATTCCATACAAACACATGCTCTTTTGGGATTCTCTATAATTTTTAAAAGTAGGAAGGCACAAAGTTTAAGCAAGAAAGTTTTAAGCAATATACTGTCTTAGAAGCTTAGAATATGTTAATTCAAAAGTATGCGAATGAGTTTCTGAAAAGGAATTAAGATGTTTCAGAGAAGCTTCACAGCAAATGAACAAAATAAGGATAATTAATATTGTGGTCTGGAAACAGTTCATGTGGAGATGTGCTGCTGAAACTGAAAAGTAGACTCAAGAATCATAAGAGTGGAATGTCTATTCCAGTGGTGGCGAACCTATGGCATACGTGCCAGAGGCGGCACTCGGAGCCCTCTCTGTGGGCACACGTGCCGTTGCTCCAGCCTCACCTTCCCCCGCGACCCCTTCCTCACCAGCAGCCCCTCTGAAGGAGAGTGGCCCCCGAGAGTGGCCCACGCAGAGCAGTGCAGCCCGGACATGGCAGCCAGGCAGCGTAGACAAGACTCTGCCTTCACGCCCCATCGTGCACAGTTGATGCTGTGGGGTGTGGACAGAGGGTGTGGCCGCCATGGCACTGCTGGGCTGCTTGGGCGATCTGTGGCAGGCCGTGGAGGCAGTGAGTGGCCCTGGGGGCAGGTGGGGTGGGGGGGCAGGGGGTGAAGCGGGGGCGGGGCCAGTTTTTGGGCACTCCGTCTCAAAGGTTCGCCATCACTGGTCTATTCCTACCTGTACTTCCATTCATATAGTGTCAAGCTCCTAAAGTTTTCTGATTTCCCATCACCATGGCAACCTTTAATGCTCTGTGCTGTGCTATTCAAGAATTTATTTATTTTTTGATATCAGGATAAGTCAGCTTTGTGAAAGGTTAGGTAGAAGCGTGCAGTAGAAAAAAGGG